AAGTTCAACCAATGACTGATTGGTTAAACTAGTCGTCCGTTGCCTTGGTTCCTTTGTTGGATTTCTTGCCCGATCGAGTTTAATAACTATGTATATTGATGTGTACCCTTCATTTAGGGTCATAAAAAATCAAAATGGAATAACTAAAAACAAATACATGACAAAAGAACAAGAAACATAGCAGAGGAAACACATCGTTGGATGATTTCCCACCTCAGATCCGTGGTCTTCTGAAAGCGAAGGAAACTTATGCCATCCAATTTCACAGGACCACAGATGCGTGGTGCGAAATCATCCAGTGAATAAGAACAAATACAAAAAGCAAAATGGAATATTGCCATGTATTCTTCGTGTAGGGTCATAAAAAATCAAAGAGTAAATTGCGCGAAATGTCACTAAACTATTGCGAAGTGCCGGTTCTGATCACTAAACTTTTTTATTAGCCAAAAAGTCACTAAACTAGTAAATCTAAACCGTTTTAGTCATTCCATGTATTTATACCGTTAGGAGAGACGAAAAGTCACTTTTTGAGGGGCAATTTCGTCCACACAATCTTTTCCTTGAAGCTTTTACATAATCAATGGTTCCGTATCCGGCAGAGATATAAAGGAGATGGCCGATCTAAATGGTAGCACCATCAAGATCTGAAATAATTGTTACCTCGCCCCGCTCAATCCTTTTGCAAAGGAGGTAATATACAGTTACTAGCATTCAACATCTACCCAGTGATGACTTTTTATTAACCATGACCTCATTGAACCGATCCCCCTTGATGTAAATGGACTGGTTTTGAAAGGTAACAAAGAGGGTTGAAACTGTTGAATACCAGTGGAAGAATTAGAACTGGAGATCAGAGGGCGACCTGATGCTTAATGGTGCCTATTTCACTCCATCTGGAGCAGGGGCCACGGCCAGCTATGCCAGAGCTTCAAGCTTAGGTGCCAAGTCGTCTTCCATGGTCGCATCAATGACTTCTGGTGCAGGTGTCCTTGCCATAAGAACAAATACAAAAAACAAAATGGAATATTGCCATGTATTCTTCGTGTAGGGCCAAAAAAAAATCAAAGAGCAAATTGCGCGAAATGTCACTAGACTATTGCGAAGTGCCGGTACTGATCACTAAACTTTTTTATTAGCCAAAAATATCACTAAACTAGTAAATCTGTACCGTTTTAGTCATTCCGTGTATTTATACCGTTAGGAGACACGAAAAGTCACTTTTTGAGGGGCAATTTCGTCTGCACAATCTTTTCCTTGAAGCTTTTACATAATCAATGGTTCCGATTCCGGCAAAGACATAAAGGAGATGGCCGATCTAAATGGCAGCACCGTCAAGATCTGAAATTGTTACCTCGCCCCACTCAATCCTTTTGCAAAGGAGGTAATATACAGTTACTAGCATTCAACATCTACCCAGTGATGACTTTTTATTAACCATGACCTCATTGAACTGATCCCCCTTTATGTAAATGGACTGGTTTTGACAGGTAACAAAGAGGGTTGAAACTGCTGAATACCAGTGGAAGAATTGGAACTGGAGATCAGAGGGCGACCTGATGCTTAATGGTGCCTATTTCACTCCATCTGGAGCAGGGGCCTCGGCCAGTTATGCCAGAGCTTCAAGCTTAGGTGCCAAGTCGTCTTCCATGGTCGCATCAATGACTTCTAGTGCAGGTGTCCTTAATTGCCATAAGAACAAATACAAAAAAAAAAATGGAATATTGCCATGTATTCTTCGTGTAGAGCCATAAAAAATCAAAGAGCAAATTGCGCGAAATGTCACTAAGAAGTGCCGGTTCTGATCACTAAACTTTTTTATTGGCCAAAAATGTCATTAAACTAGTAAATCTATACCGTTTTAGTCTTTCCATGTATTTGTACCATTAGGAGAGACGAAAAGTCACTTTTTGAGGGGCAATTTCGTCCGCACAATCTTTTCCTTGAAGCTTTTACATAATCAATGGTTCCGTATCCGGCAGAGATATAAAGGAGATGGCCGATCTAAATGGCAGCACCATCAAGATCTGAAATAATTGTTAGCTCTCCCCGCTCAATCCTTTTGCAAAGGAGGTAATATATAGCTACTAGCATTCAACATCTACCCAGTGATGACTTTTTATTAACCATGACCTCATTGAACCGATCCCCCTTGATGTAAATGGATTTGTTTTGACAGGTAACAAAGAGGGTTGAAACTGTTGAACACCAGTGGAAGAATTGAAATTGGAGATCAGAGGGTGACCTGATGCTTAATGGTGCCTATTTCACTCCATCTGGAGCAGGGGCCTCGGCCAGCTATGCCAGAGCTTCAAGCTTAGGTGCCAAGTCGTCTTCCATAGTCGCATCAATGACTTCTGGTGCAGGTGTCCTTAATTGCCATAAGAACAAATACAAAAAACAAAATGGATTATTGCCATGTATTCTTCGTGTAGAGCCATAAAAAATCAAAGAGCTTGCGCGAAATGTAAGTAAACTATTGCGAAGTGCCGGATCTGATCACTAAACTTTTTTATTGGCCAAAAATGTCACTAAACTAGTAAATCTATACCGTTTTAGTCTTTTCGTTTATTTATACCGTTAGGAGAGACGAAAAGTCACTTTTTGAGGGGCAATTTCGTCCGCACAATCTTTTCCTTGAAGCTTTTACATAATCAATGGTTCCGTATCCGGCAGAGATATAAAGGAGATGGCCGATCTAAATGGCAGCACCATCAAGATCTGAAATAATTGTTACCTCGTCCCGCTCAATCCTTTTGCAAAGGAGGTAATATACAGTTACTAGCATTCAACATCTACCCAGTGATGACTTTTTATTAACCATGACCTCATTGAACCGATCCCCCTTGATGTAAATGGACTGGTTTTGACAGGTAACAAAGAGGGTTGAAACTGCAGAATACCAGTGGAAGAATTGGAACTGGCGATCTGAGGGCGACCTGATGCTTAATGGTGCCTATTTCACTCCATCTGGAGCAGGGGCCTCGGCCAGCTATGCCAGAGCTTCAAGCTTAGGTGCCAAGTCGTCTTCCATGGTCGCATCAATGACTTCTGGTGCAGGTGTCCTTAATTGCCATAAGAACAAATACAAAAAACAAAATGGATTATTGCCATGTATTCTTCGTGTAGAGCCATAAAAAATCAAAGAGCAAATTGCGCGAAATGTCACTAAACTATTGCGAAGTGCCGGATCTGATGACTAAACTTTTTTATTGGCCAAAAATGTCACTAAACTAGTAAATCTGTACCGTTTTAGTCTTTTCGTTTATTTATACCGTTAGGAGAGACGAAAAGTCACTTTTTGAGGGGCAATTTCGTCCACACAATTTTTTCCTTGAAGCTTTTACATAATCAATGGTTCCGTATCCGGCAGAGATATAAAGGAGATGGCCGATCTAAATGGCAGCACCATCAAGATCTGAAATAATTGTTAGCGCTCCCCGCTCAATCCTTTTGCAAATGAGGTAATATATAGCTACTAGCATTCAACATCTACCCAGTGATGACTTTTTATTAACCATGACCTCATTGAACCGATCCCCCTTGATGTAAATGGACTGGTTTTGACAGGTAACAAAGAGGGTTGAAACTGTTGAACACCAGTGGAAGAATTGGAATTGGAGATCAGAGGGTGACCTGATGCTTACTGGTGCCTATTTCACTCCATCTGGAGCAGGGGCCTCGGCCCGCTATGCCAGAGCTTCAAGCTTAGGTGCCAAGTCGTCTTCCATGGTCGCATCAATGACTTCTGGTGCAGGTGTCCTTAATTGCCATAAGAACAAATACAAAAAACAAAATGGATTATTGCCATGTATTCTTCGTGTAGAGCCATAAAAAATCAAAAGAGCAAATTGCGCGAAATGTCACTAAGAAATGCCGGTTCTGATCACTAAACTTTTTTATTGGCCAAAAATGTCACTAAACTAGTAAATCTATACCGTTTTAGTCTTTCCGTGTATTTGTACCATTAGGAGAGATGAAAAGTCACTTTTTGAGGGGCAATTTCGTCCGCACAATCTTTTCCTTGAAGCTTTTACATAATCAATGGTTCCGTATCCGGCAGAGATATAAAGGAGATGGCCGATCTAAATGGCAGCACCATCAAGATCTGAAATAATTGTTACCTCGCCCCGCTCAATCCTTTTGCAAAGGAGGTAATATACAGTTACTAGCATTCAACATCTACCCAGTGATGACTTTTTATTAACCATGACCTCATTGAACTGATCCCCCTTTATGTAAATGGACTGGTTTTGACAGGTAACAAAGAGGGTTGAAACTGCTGAATACCAGTGGAAGAATTGGAACTGGAGATCAGAGGGCGACCTGATGCTTAATGGTGCCTATTTCACTCCATCTGGAGCAGGGGCCTCGGCCAGCTATGCTAGAGCTTCATGCTTAGGTGCCAAGTCGTCTTCCATGGTTGCATCAATGACTTATGGTGCTGGTGTCCTTAATTGCCGCAGGGGCCGCGCTTGTTAGCAACTGGTGCCAATTGCACATATATGAAAGATTTTTTTTCTGTTTTTTTTTTCTTTTTGAAAAAAAAACTTTTCCCCCCCCTATACTAGTATCCCCATCTCCATGATATTACAGCCATTGTTTGTGAATCATCCATCCATTTACTTCAATTGGCAAGTGTACATTTTTTGCACATGTCCATCATTCATCCTCATCCATATTCTCATATGCCTTTGTCTCCCATTGTTGGCAACCTCGGCCTGCTTCAATTGAAAGAAACCACCGCCCATTCCAAAAGCATATGCTCAGATCTTGAAGAATGAGGGTGCAAGGTCTCCACCGTTTGTTGTTGTTCTCCGATGAGCTTGGATTGAAGGTCGCAGCTAGAGCTCTGGTCAGGATCAAAAATGAGAGGGAAGGGGGGGTTCCAATAGAAGGGGAGAAAAGAGAAGGCAGGGAGTAGGGGAAGAGAGAGGAAGGGAGGGAAGGAAGAGGGAGGAGAAAGAAGAAGAAAGAAAAAAGGGAAAGTGGAGGTGGAAGTGATGGCGGTGGGTGGCAATGTAGGTGATAGGGTGGTTGTGGGTGCAGAAGAACGAGGGATAAATTTTTTAACAGCTGTGTAGACGAAATTGCCCTTCAAAAAGTGACTTTCCGTCTCTCCTAACGGCATAAATATATGGAATGACTAAAACGGTACAGATTTACTAGTTCAGTGACATTTTTGGCTAATAAAAAAGTTTAGTGATCAGAACCGGCACCTCGCAATAGTTTAGTGACATTTCGCGCAATTTGCTTAAAATCAAAATGGAATAACTAAAAACAAATACATGACAAAAGAACAAAAAACACAGCAGAGGAAACACATCGTTGGGTGATTTCCCACCTCAGATCCGTGGTCTTCTGAAAGCAAAGGAAACTTATGCTATCCAATTTCACAGGACCACAGATGCGCGGTGCGAAATCATCCAGCGAATAAGAACAACTACAAAAAACAAAATGGAATATTGCCATGTATTCTTCATGTAGGGTCATAAAAAATCAAAATGGAATAACTAAAAACAAATACATAACAAAAGAACAAAAAACACAGAAGAGGAAACACGTCGTTGGATGATTTCCCACCTCGATTCGTGGTCTTCTCAAAGCGAAGGAAACTTATGCTATCCAATTTCACAGGACCACAGATGCGTGGTGTGAAATCATCCAGCGAATAAGAAATAAGGATTTGCACTTCCACACAAGGCTACAAGTGCATAGGCTAAAGAATTTTTGGTGATTTGTCTCTCTTATTAATTTGGTAAATAATTGTCTTCAACCTTTTTCTTCTACAGCAATTCTTTGGCCTAAAAAAGCAATCTCATTTGTGTGGTTTTATTTCCAAAATATTTGGCATTGTTGTCATTTCTTTATAATCACTAGGTCTGGACAGCCTCGCTTACAATGGGTAGTCGTAATTTGGTCCAAACACAGTTAAGCTTGTATATGTTCAAACCTCAGGGGAGTTTCTTAATATTAGTCCATAATATTGAAAATTGATGATGAAAATCTCTCTTCATTTACCATCAACATGAAGCATGTGAGACCAAAAGGTGGTGAAAACTTTTAAAGAATATTGAAAAAAAAATGTTCTTTCAAATAATGTGTTTTTGCATAGCCCTTTGGGTTAGGCTCTTCTCCATTAATTGCAGAAAATTTTTTCTCCATTACACCTAAATAAACATGGTTATAATATTATTTTTGAAATAAAAGGTCATCCAAATTATATTTCTTGTGTTGTTTAAAGTATATTAAAAAATTCAAATTAAACTGATTAAATTTTACTATTGGATCAAACTTTGCATTTTTTATTATAATTTTGGCCCATATTGCACCGTCAAAGTGTTTTGTACAAATTGAATGACAAAAAATTCATAAATGAGAATGAATTTTAAGTATGTTGATCTACTTGTGGAAGTAAAATTATTGACATAATAAATAGATTGTTATGAAAAATTTAGGCACATAAATGGTGAGAAAGTAATAGAGAGGATCTGAACTCTAGCTTTTTGTCTATGTAAGGCTGTCTCAGAGTGACTCTACCTCGAAGTTTAATAAACTTGATCTCCTATGATCAGCTGACTTTCGAAGATAAATTAAACTAACTTTCATCCAGGCAAAGGGCGAAAGCCCCCTACGAGCAGCTTTTTCAATTGCTGTCCCATTAATTGGGGTTGCTGTTGTGCTATTTATCATGGCTTTAGTTTTCCTGAAAAGAAGATTGCGGAAGAGTTATATTGCTATGGCACTGGAAACAAGTGGTAAAGTTGATAGATTAATATTACAAACACTTCAGATTTGTTTGAACAAATAAATTGAGTGTATTTTCTTATTTCTGGTGTAGATGGAGTTGCTGATATCTTCACTGCCGAATCTTTACAGTATAGCTTAACTGAAATTCAAATTGCCACAAATAACTTCTCTGTGGATAACAAAATTGGCGAAGGTGGATTTGGTCGTGTATACAGGGTCTTTGCATGAAATATTTTGCTTTTGTGAATTTGAATATCTACACATTTAATATTTCAATTAAATTCTGGTATGCATGTTTACGCAGGGTGTACTTGGTAATGGACAAGAAGTAGCTGTTAAGAGGCTGTCAAGGAGCTCAGGGCAAGGTGCAGAAGAATTTAAAAATGAAATTGTAGTAGTTGCAAAGCTTCAACAGAGAAATCTAGTTCCACTATTGGGATTTTGCCTGGAAGGAGAAGAAAAGATACTCATCTATGAATTTGTTCCTAACAAAAGCCTTGGCTACTTTCTCTTTGGTGGGTTCTATTTTACTTGACTTGCCATTTATGGAAATGATGGACAAATTGCCTCTAGACAAATGTTTAATTGGTGTGAATTCTAGTTTAGACCCTTAAATCATAGACGCACTCAAACTTTAGTTCTTAAACTTTAATTTTGGATACTTCACCTCTTAAAACGTCACATTTGTCACACATCATACAATCACTCTCTCAATTGTCACATTTGTTTTAATGATTTCATTAATAATTATACTGAAGTGGGACAATTTAAAACCTTTAGGTGAAGTGTCCACAATAAAAATTTAAGAACTAAACTGAGAGTGCATTTATATTTTAAAAGCTAAAATGTAATTTACCTATTTGATTATGCTTTCTAGAATTATTGATAAAATAATTCTCAATGCTAGCACAGTATATTGTGTTTAAATTTGTGTAGATCCAGAAAATAAACGATCATTGAACTGGTCAAGACATTACAATATCATTGGAGGTATAGCAAAAGGACTTCTTTATCTGCATGAGAATTCTCGTCTTAAAATTGTTCATCGTGATCTCAAAGCAAGCAATATATTATTGGATGGAAATATGAGCCCAAAGATCGCAGATTTTGGCATGGCAAAGATTTGTGGAGTTGATCAATCTGAAGGAAACACAAATAGAATTGCTGGGACATTGTAAGTTTTGTGCCCATACTATCTTTTGTCACATAATATGACTTTGAATCTTTATTGAAAATTATCTACACTTCCATTTCATTGCCTCATTGGGGTTATCTTAGTACTGTTTATTACAATCATTGTGGCTTGCAGTGGTTACATGGCTCCTGAATATATGAGACGGGGCCAGTTTTCGACAAAGTCAGATGTATTCAGTTTTGGGGTCGTTATTTTAGAAATTGTTACAGGCAAGAAGAATAGTAGTTTCCATATGTAAGTGCGAATTACAAAACCTCTACTGCTGTTTTTATTATTTTTCTGTGGTTTTGCACAATTGCAGTCAAGGATTTGAACTTGGCACAATTTATTATTTAGATGTCCAATGCGAATCTTCACCGTCATGATGCCATTAGGCCTTACCATTAGTCCTTTGTTCGTAGTTACACATAGTAGAGTAGTTCAAAATTTTCGTAAAGACTAGTTTGCTTCCTTTTCTTTTTACAAGGTTTGGAAGCATTGGAGACATGGCGAACCTTTAGCTCTTTTGGATTCAAGTATTGGAGATTCTTTTGCCAAAACTGAAGTCATTCAATGTGTCCAATTAGGCTTACTATGTGTAGAAGAATATGTCAGTAAAAGGCCTACAATGGCTTCCCTGGTCAATATGCTCAATTGTAGCTCGGTTACCCTACCAACTCCACATCGTCCGGCAGTTTTCTGGAGCCATGGATCGGAAAGCATGGTGGAAGAGGTGGAAGTTGAGCAATCTAATACCGAAAGAATTTCAATTCCAAGCTCTGTCAATGAGGCAACAATTACTGAACCATACCCCAGATAGAGGAAGAAATAGGCCAATTCTGGCTAGGAATATCGAGTGCATCAGCAGCACCACGTTGTAGTGTTTGTTGCATGACTCATTTACCAGGAAGGTATCTTTCTCCGTTAGTGTTGTAAATTAGCTTCTTCACAGTGATTGACTTCTCGTACCTTGAGGATTTAAGGATGTGCTTGAAAGAAAAATGCAAGTTGTTGTTGCACTTGAGATTTTTCTTTTCTTTTTTTTTTTTTTTTTTTCAAATAGACAACATTTTTTTTTTTTTTTGTCGACTGGGGGTATCCCAGGCATTTTGCCCAGACTAATCCCCCAGGCTGGGAGAGCCTGCCCCACGGATCCCAGCACGTTAACGAGGAGAGAGTCGAACACGGAACCTGCACCTAAAGAGGTGACGACGGAACCGGTCGAGCTAACCCCCGAGGGCTTCAAATAGACAACATGTCTTGAGCAAAGTTGGCTTTTATCACTTATATGTAGCAAAGATGGCTTCCTAACTAAGTCTGTCAATTATTTTTCCCTATATGTTGTCTTCTTTATCATAGTATCAGAGCAAGAATCATAGGGTCATTGTTTAAAATAATACTTTGGTATAAACTTAAACTAGAAACTGTGATGGGAATTATCTGAAATAGTGCTGGATAGTAGAAGTCTGCACCACGAGTCAAATGCCTAGAACAAATGTTTCCTCCTCAAGTAACAAATTATGCTAGCAATGATTCCTCCTCGATGCCAACCATGTTTTGAGTTTACAAGTCAAATGCCTACAAACAAGCAATGATTGCTCCTGCGTTTTGTAGTCCCAAGTTTTTTAGCTGTATATTTTGGACAAAAACAAGTTGGAATATATACTTGAAGTAGTAAACATGTTTTGCAACAATTTACTCCACAACATCGGCAAAGCTTCTGCTATGAATTGGTTCTTCGCCGAGGCATTTACTTCGCACCAAATTTCAAAAGTCTAAAGATCCCATTTTGTGTAAGTATACAAATCATTTATAAGGGGTATTAGATGTCGATTCCACAAAAAATATTGTTAACTATCGGTGTTATTCGAGCTTTTCTATTATTTAGATTATTACAAATAAAGCAAATAGATCACAACTAATAGATTTATGTTAATCATGATTGAAACAAAATCTTACATATGTTTAGTGTTATGGAATTCCTATCTACTTATGCAAATAAAATAACCGATTAATTGAATTCATTATTTTGGTTAGTTATGACTTAATTTCCAAATATATGTGATACATGCTATCGCTGATGTATTAACCGTACCTATAACTATCCCATACCTATTAACTTGATATGAAACTAGCTATATATTGATTGAATTCTATGAAATTACATGGAACAACCAATCAAAATCACAAACGTGTAACCCTACAATAGTGCGTTGACTCCTTTGATTTAACACTTTCATGAACTAGTATTGAATCACAATAGTTGTTGATGAAACAATATCTTTAGGTAATCACAACTAATAGATTTAGGTTAATCATGATTGAAATAGCAAAAGTGCTTAATAGCTTTCTCAAGAAATAAACTCAAATAACTATGAAAACTTCACTTAACAATCATAGAAGTTCATCCATCCTCTAGGCATACAACCACCAAAACATGAAAGTTAAGAAAACTTGTATTATAACTAAACATAAAAATCAATACAAGAAATAGAGTGATGGAAGAGATGTGACCCATGTCACTTGAACTTTAAGCTCTCCATTTTCATCCTCAACTTCATCTATGTCTTGCTATACACAAGGATTGGATGCAACTAACTATACAAATCTATACGACAATAATGAACTAGGAAGTTCTAGTAAAAAAACTACATTTTGTGTAGTTTATCTAACCTTCAAAGTTATGCAAAAATGTGTTTTGAAGGGCCTATTTATAGAAGAATCAAGCTCCAAGTAATGATGTTAATGTTGATGCAAATTGCTTTTTGAAATCACCAAAAGTTGATTCTTGAAGTCTCCATGATCTCCTTGGGTAGTTCCCACCGAATTTGATCAGAAAAATGGTCCAAAAAGGTTATGTGAACAAATTGCAAGTTATAAAGCAAGTTGCATAGCCGAAAATCAATTTTACGCGGGCTAGGTAGGCCATGTAACAACCCCTGTAACTGCTCCTTTGCAGGTTTGGGACATTTTTTATGATTCTAGAAATTGCTCTGTTTTTATATCAATTTGAGCTACAAATTCTCAATGATCGATGCTAAACTAGTTTTTGCACAAAGTATAAAAGTTGTAACCCTTTGAATTAGCTTTCTAATGCATTAATAATCATCTCATTTGGATGTCTATAGGCTGAAATAGCCTCAATTGGTCAAACCTTTGTTTTTTATTTTGATAGCATAAATGCACGATTGTATTCAACTTTTTGACCATCAGAATGCTTGAATGGGATTTCAATTCTTCATACGAAATGTTGATCTATGTCTCAGATTCAAAATAATTTAAGAATCATCTCAATCCAAAGCTTATAACGTAGGTTATAGCCAAAATATCAAAAGATGTGAAAACTGTTGAAATTTCCTTCTATTGAATTTGATTTCATTTCATCTTTTGAATATATTGCACTTCATATTTACTTTAAATCATTTCAAACCATCAAGAATCATCCAAATATTTTCTCACTTCACACCAATTAATGATTGAATCATTAAATCCAACAAAAACATGAAATTTTAACCACTTAAATCCATAGAAATGCAATTTTTCATAGTTAAACCACAAAATGCAAACTTCACTAGAAATCTAATTAATTAGTTATAAATATAATTAAAATGCACCAAAATTAAACTATAAAGTACACTAAAAATATACAAAATAGACACTTATTGTTCTTATCACAATAACGAAGATAGTATTGCTTAGTTTTTTGCACTCTTCATAAAATGTTTATGTAGAATGTCTCTTTTGTCATGCACACGTATAAATATTTTCTCACATTATTTGATGAAATATTTTTAAGTAAATAGAGTATTTAAAAATAATTATTTTACCAATAAATAGTTGAAAAAACCATCATGAAAAGAAAAATAATATAAATTGTATGAAATAGTCTTGTCTGAGAAGCACAAACTAATTGGTAATAAGATTGGCTTTAAGAGAGTAGAAGGAAAATTTTAAAAAAAAAAAAAAAAAAAAAAAAAAAAGGCTTCAGTGCCTTGCAAGAAAGCTGTCTTTGTATCCAAAGAAAGTAAAAAATAGCGGATGTGATTAATTAGAGTTATCAACGGAGCTGGATCAACCTAAACTCACTTGATCAATTCAAAATAATTCGAGTCAAGCCTTGCATATCATTGGGCTATAGGGCTAGGTTATAAGGCCTGATTAAATTGTGACCTGAGTTTGGGTTTAAAGAGGATCAACCCAATTACAACCCGACACGACCAATTAAGTACATAAACACATTTTTTTTATTCATAATGATGTATGTTATTTAATAATTATATATTATAATGCAAATAGTTTATGACTTATATATAATGATAAAATAAAATAAATATTGCATGCATATTATTTTTAAAATTATGAATTAATTGGGAGTTTGGGCCAAACTTGAATTGCACCGGAAACTCTTGCATCTTGGTGACCCAAGTATGAACTTTACAGATTGAGCCCAAAGTCTGAGTCCTAAGGCCCTAAACTTGAACTTGAACTTTTCAAAAATTGTAAGCAAAACTTGAACTTTTCAAAATCCAACTCATAAGGCCCAATTAAGACCCCTAACTGTGACGGGAAAACATATGTATAATTTCATTCCAGTCATCTTGGTGAAAAGTTTTCATTTTCCTTTAATTTCTCTAGTTACTTGTGGTGACATGTGTTCAGTGGGCTAGTAGCAACCTTCACTAGCAAGTTGCAACCACTGAAGTTGGGCCACAGTCACAAGACGGCTCTTAGAATTTCCACTGCATTCAAGTTCGGGGTTCGAATCTTGAGGAGGGGGAAGGGGTAGCGGTGACAGTGAAGGATGGAAGAGGGGAGGGTGATGGCGGTGGTGGGTGAAAAAGAAAAGGTGGTAAGATTTTTTAAAAAGTTGTTTGTGTTTTTATAAGTTATATTTGAAATGTGTACTTGTAGACACCAAAATTTTATCATTTTATTTATTTTAGTTAAATTTTATTTTATTTTTATTTACTTGTTTTACTTCTATCTTTTGGAAAAAAAATCATTTTTAGAAAAATCAAAATGGAAAGAAAAGAAAAAAGCAGAAAAGAAAAGAAAAAAAGATGAAAAATCAGTTTTTGCCAAAAAAAAAAAAAGTTGGGTGGAAGCCACGCGCGCGTGCATTGCTGCTTCTTCTTCAATTGTACAAACCCAGAAGAAGGAAAAGCCACAGTACAAGATGCAGCTGGCATCTTTGGGAGCAAATTCTGGTTCAATATTCCTTTCTTTTTCTCTAAGTTTTGTGGGTACAAGATGCCACCTCACCACTAGATTCCATCAAACAGCTGGCAAAAGATCAAATGGGCAAGAATGAAACTTCAAGAAAATCTAGATCATCAGGGCCCTTGCTGGTAGGTTTAATGGGTTGGTTTCGTTTAAAAGGGAGAGGACGAAAACAAGAGAAGAGGGGAGGCGGAAGAAAGAAAAACAGAAAGAAAGGAGCGAAAAGAGAGGGAGAAAGAGAAAGAATTTGCAGAAAATTTTGGTAAAAAGGGCTGATTTTCAGCCATATTTCGGCTCAAATATCTCTTTCATTGTAGCTTAGTTGAATGAAATTTTAATTTCTTCTTAATCTACAAAGTTAGAGAATCGACTTTTATTCACAAATCTTGGAGAAAAAACATCTGTAGAACCGTCGAATCTGGCCCTGAATGGGCTGATCCCGTTTCACTGATGCATGTCCAAAGGTTCGAGAAGTTGACTATAGCTGCTTCTTTTGCCTGTTCCCTTATTCTAGTTTGATCCGACAACCTTCATCAGGTACTCCCCTAAACTAATGCTCTGGTTCCTTCCATTTTCGTTTGCTATTACATTCATTTGCTG